AGGTCAAATTTGAAATTTCAACTTGAACCACGGTTAACCCAAGAGCCACTATGGGACAGAGAGGGTTCTTAAGGCGTCGGCCAGGATATGTTAATGTCACTAAAGTTTGTTTCGAGGTTGTAATTACACGGAAGTCCAATTCCTGAGACGTCTGCTCATTTTAATCGATTGTTTTGAAAGTCATCAAGTCCACACCCAACTGTCTCAGAGCACACAAAGCAAAATATTGTAATAGCAACTGTTGAATATTGAACATGCATGACCCTTTCGAGTGAAAGTAAAAGCCAACTGTTTATAGCTTAATGCTAATAACAGTTCAATGAACGGCACATTGATACCCCAATACATACTTAAACGGGAATGACCTAAGCTTCAATTTAAGAGTACTACAACAATATTTTGAGCCTAAAATTGGGAGAACAATAAGAATATTCATAATGGGCCAGAAAAACGACTTTCTTCCAAAAAAGAAAAGAGTGCAGTCAACCATTTAAGAGGATGACAAGACTCAATATGAAAAGTTCATCTGAATACTTGTATAAACAAAAGAGAAATAATAAAAATAGAAACAATCCTTGACGTACGTACACATGGAAAAAATACTAAACCGAAGGAGATTTTCCAAATCAAACATTTCTTTACAATTTCTTTAAAAGTTAAAAATAATTTATTAAGGTTGAGGCGCTACGACTAAACTCTTTCTTTTTTACCAGAATATATTTTATAAAATATCGCTACTGAAATCTGGAACTGAGATTTTCAACAGGATTTGTTAGTTTGTGTTGAAAATCGGTTAATAAAATACATTGTTTTAAACTTATCTGATGTAATTGACCCTTGCTCTAAACAAAAAAAAACTAGCAAGCAAACTTCAAAAAACTGCACCGTTAACAAAATTAAATGTTCAGTGCTAATAACAGTTCGATAAAAGGTATATTGATACCCCAATACATCATGACCCAGAAAAGATATAAGCTTCAATTTAAGAGTAATACAGGAATATTTCGAGCCTAGTTATTCAGATAAAATGATGGATAAGAATCTGTTGAAAGTCAACGATCACAGAAGAACGATGGCTTTGCTTTGCTTGAAGACCAAAAAACATCTTTTAAAATGAGATATGGCCTCTTATAAAAAGCCAGCCGTTGCTAAGGGGAATTGTGATAGTATATATTATAAAAGACCTTTCTAAAAAAGAAATTCCTTACGTAATGTACACATACCAGCTAAACTATAAAACTCGACGATACAACAGTTCAACCAAAAGCAGACGTCTGTGGTCAGTCAGGATTCAGGATTTCAAATCTCCACCCAATAATTTTAGCTCCAATTATGCACATCTTCACTTTGACCTGGAAAGACTGAATAAAAGTCAAAGCCTACAAAGCCCAGTGTTGTGGCCGATCTAAAACAACAACACTAGAGACAATGAAGGAAAAAGGTTAGAAATCTGAGAATAAAATGTGCTCAACCATCACCTGTAGAAATAAACAGAAACTAGAAAGTTAGAATATGTTTTTGCTTTCAAAAGAATCTCAATGAGAGGGGTATCTTATGGTTATTATATCTTCAGTATGAGTTTCCAATTTGAAAAGTACCAAAAGAAGTTAGCATAAAGTTCCAATTTAAAAAGTACCCAAATTAGCGGGGTATCCCTACGTTTCTCTGTTCCCTGATTTATTGTGTAAATTCGGTTTGAGTGTCAGCGGTTTACGCAAAATACGTTTCAACACCTATACACCACTTTGAATTTTCACAAAAAAATCAGTTCCCAAACAAACCAGGATTCCCATTGTCCACGTTAATAATTTTGGATTAGTATCCCTACGTTTCTCTGTTAACTGATTTATTGTGTAAATTCGGTTTGAGTGTCAGCGGTTTATGCAAAATACGCTTCAACGCCTATACACCCTGTTGAATTTCCACAAATAATCAGTTCCCAAACAAACCAGGATTCCCGTTGTCCACGTTAATAATTTTGGATTGGTATCCCTACTTTCTCTGTTAACTGATTTATTGTGTAAACTCGGTTTGAGTGTCAGCGGTTTACGCAAAATACGTTTCAACACCTATACACCCCTTCGAATTTCCACACAAAAAATCAATTCCCAAAGAAACCAGGATTCCCAATTTGTCCGCTCTGATAATTTTAGATCGGAGTAAAGTGGACCTCCTTCTCTTTAAAAAAAGAAAGCGGAAAAAATAGAATCATGGTCAATAGAGTTTGCTTGGCAATCCCAAAGCGTCCTACCATCACCTGTAGAGATAGGAAGAAACTAAGAAGTTAGCATAAGGTTACAATTTGAAAAGCACCCGAATTAGCATGGTATCCCTACGTTTCTCTGTTAACTGATTTATTGTGTAAATTCGCCTTGAGTGTCAGCGGTTTACGCAAAATACGTTTCAACGCCTATACACCCCGTCGAATTTCCACAAAAAATCAGTTCCCAAACAAACCAGGATTCCCGTTGTCCACATTAATAATTTTGGATTGGTATCCCTACGTTTCTCTGTTAACTAATTTATTGTGTAAATTCGCTTTGAGTGTCAGCGGTTTACGCAAAATGTGTTTCAACGCCTATACACCCCGTCGAATTTCCACAAAAAATCAGTTCCCAAACAAACCAGGATTCCCATTGTCCACGTTAATAATTTTGGATTGGTATCCCTACGTTTCTCTGTTAACTGATTTATTGTGTGAATTCGGTTTGAGTGTCAGCGGTTTACGCAAAATACGTTCCAACACCTATACACCCCGTCGAATTTCCACAAAAAATCAGTTCCCAAACAAACCAGGATTCCCGTTGTCCACGTTAATAATTTTGGATTGGTATCCCTACGTTTCTCTGTTAACTAATTTATTGTGTAAATTCGGTTTGAGTGTCAGCGGTTTACGCAAAATACGTTTCAACACCTATACACCCATTCGTATTTCCACAAAAAAATCAATTCCCAAAGAAACCAGGATTCCCATTGTTGGCTCTGATAATTTTAGCTCGGAGTAATGTGGACCTCCTTCTCTTTAAAAAAGAAAGCGGAAAAAATAGAATCATGCTCAATAGAGTATACTTGGCAATCCCAAAGCGTGCTACCATCACCTGTAGAGATAGGAAGAAACAAAGATGTTAGCATAAGGTTCCAATTTGAAAAGCACCCGAATTAATGGGTATCCCTACATTCTTCTGTTCCCTGATTTATTGTGTAATATCGGTTTGAGTGTCAGTGGTTTACGCAAAATATGTCTCAACGCCTATACACTCAGTCAAATTTCCACACAAAAAAAATCAGTTCCTAAACAAACCAGGATTCCCATTGTCTGCATTGATAATTTTAGATTGAGGTAACCTTGATTGTCTCTATAATAGAAAGAGATTAAAGGTAAAAAGGCCAGAAATCTAGGAAGCTGAAGAGCTGCAAACTCAAAGCACTCACTTGTTGATGCCGAGAGTGAAATTTCTGCTAAGAACTCCCAGGAACAGAAGCTTTGATATCAATTCCTGCAGTTTGGCAGCGACAGGAACTCTGAAATAATAACAAAAAGTTGTAACACACATTGCACATATATTGGTGTTTTTTTTTGTTAAAATAGAAGCTAATTGGGGTTTGAAGGATTTTTTGTAGCAGTCGATGATTTTTCACTCCAGAGATAATTGTCTGTTGAATCATTTCCTACACAGTACTAACAATGTACATGGCAGATAGTACTGAGATCAGTATTAGGTATGTACGTTTACTTAATTACACATTCTACCCTCTACGTGATCTGCCACACAAATTACCCACGACTTGTTCCACGCAGGGTTCACGGCATAATCAGTAGAGCAACAGCAGATCCAACTTGGAGATCGTCCGTGGGTGCGAATCATGCCGAGGTCAAAACACTTTCTCTTTGCCTCGTGTGGTCCCCAAATTCCTTTTACTTGGCGTAGTGCTTATTGGGGCTTATGGGTTGAACCTACTAGAAGTTGGAAAGTTATTAGTTCCTTCCATCCCTGTCAAGCTTTCTCATATGGACATCTCGGTTGAATTCTGATACAACTTTCAACTGGACATGTATCATTTCCCTTTCCCAGCATTTTACTCCTACAAAAAAACACAGTATAACATGAACGTTATCCTGGAGAAATAATGGTTACAAAAATCAGTAGTACTGTTTACTGAATCAGTAGCCAATATGAGATTTGTATTTGTCTTTTTTATAACAAGGTTGCTTTGCTTGAAGAATTTTAAAACTCTTTTATCCCTCTACGGCCTCCCTTTGGCAAGTGTAATGTGTAGTCGCAGAAAATATCCATAATCCCCCACGAAGGGCAACAGAAATTCCAAGGGGAGGGGAGGGGGGGTGTCAAAAAGGAGGCAATTCCCAAGGGAGTAGGGGGTTGCTTACAGAGGTCTTTTTCCAGGGAGTTTGAGTAAGATTGGTCAGTTAATAATAAATAGCAGCTTCTCTGTTGAGAAAGCTATCAGTTATTTACTGTTACCAGTGTTTCAAAACAAGTATTATTGTTAGCATTGATCATGTTTTAC